AAGGCCTCTGGGAGTTTCTGGGGAGGGTCACACTCACCTGGACCAGCGAGGGGCAGAGCCTGTCCTTGTCATAGTGGGCCGGCTTCACGTGGGGCCGGCCCCGCGCGACGCGGGCACGAGCGGGGGACGGCCCCGGCCACCCGCGGACGCCTGTGCTCCAACTGTGGCCGTCCCGCGCGCTGCCCTCCGCCCGGACCCTCCGCCCGTGACGGGAACGACCTACCTCGGTGCAGGTCGGCCACAAGGAACTCCTCGGCTCGCCTGCCCGGCCGCGAACTGCCCCAGAGCATGCGCTCTGCAGGCCTCCGGCCCCGACCCCGGGCCAGAAAGGAAAACAAAGAGCCCGGCGGCCCCTGGCGGCCGCCCCGGGAAGTGCAAGTGGCGCGCTCTGGCTGGGGAGCTCTTGACTAGGCTCCCTCCATCCTGGCTCGGGTGCAGTGGGTGTGTATTTTGGAGACTCCAAACAGGGACAAGTGGACTGACAACCAGAAAGACTACTTGGAATCAGGGTTTGTTTGGGGAAATCTGGTGTGGAAGGGACTGTACGGAGAAAAGAGATTGATCTTTCCTGCTCTCAAGAGGGTCTTCATCAGAGAAAGATGAGAAATCAGACTATCAGCAACTACACAAGGCTATGACAAAGGTATGCAGAGGAGCGTCTGGCTCAGCCTGGGGCTTAAGGAAGGCTTTCCAAGTTACGTCTAAGAGGGCAGGGCATCCTAGGAGAAGCATCCTTTGCAATGACAGGAAGCAACGAAAGCCTGGGTGGTTGCGTAAAACTGCCAAGGTTTGACTGGAGCAGAGGGTGCCTGTGGGAGTGTCAGGGGAGAGAACTGGAGAGGCAGAGACAGACCATAGATGCAGGGTCTTCTGTGTCTAAGGAGTACAGCCTCTATCCTGAGGCAACCGGAACTATGGAAGGGGTTTGAACATGTGAGTGACATGAGCAGATTTTTGTTAAACAAAAGGGAGAATGGACGGGGGTGGGGAGGGGAAGGGGAACCAAGAGTTGGGAGAACAAGAGGAGTAGGGGAGACTAGGTAAGAAAAGGGTGTGAATTGAGGATGGGAGCTGGAGATGGAAAATAGGCACCAAGCAGACTACCCTCTCTTGTTAACACATTCCTTCTTCAGGATGGATACAAACAGTTCTTCAAAATTTCAGGTGTTCCCTGGGGTGACCTTTCAGGCCATTTGATTGTCTAACGGTTTTCCAGGTCAGGGCAGTAACCTCTGCAGAAGGGTATTTTCTCCATTTCATATTGATTTTGACTCTGAAAGTCATTCTATCATACCTGAACTCTAGATTGACACTTCTGATGACTGTTTACCAACTGAATTTCTTCTACTATGCAGAGCCCACCCCAAAGCACTCCCCATCTTCAGGGTCTCTTACCTCTCCAAGTTTACCTCTGCCTCCATCATGGACTTCTCTTTTGGATGATATACTGTGAAATTTCTCCAAGTTTTAACCCTGGGATCTCTGATCTCTCTCTGCTGTCTTCCTCCAAGATCTTATTCATTCATGTGACTTAATGTAATTATAAAATGATTTATTAGCACCTATTTTGTAAAACTTTTTATTTTAGTAACTACAGAAACATGTCCATCTATGTGCATTAGCTCATTTGTTCCTCACAAAAACCTCATGACAGTTGGAAAATGAGAGAAATGAGGTTCTAAGAGGTTAAGCAAGTTCTCTGGGGTCTTCATGCAAGTGGTAGAAGGGGACCAGAAGTCTTGTGCAGGGCTGAGCCATCACCTTTTAACTGAGAGGGCAGTCCCTCTGGTCTGGTTCTGACTTCCACCCTACCTTTCAGTCTTACATCACCACCCAGAAGACCCAACACCCAAAATAAAACTTGTTTCCCATGATCTAGACTCCAACTTCATCCTTCAAGCCAAGGTTAAGGTACTCTGAGAAGTACAGATTCAAACCTTAAATTTTCTGGTTCTTCCCTCTCCTTTCCTCTTCATGTTTCTATTTCTGCCCCTCTGGTCTAAAGCACCACCCTCTTGGCCTCTGTTCCCACCTCTCATCCCCTCCCTTCCATTTCATTCCACCTAGATCCCCAGGTTAAACTCTCTAAATCATGGCTGTGAGACCTTGTGCTGCTTAGGCATTTCTTCAGTGCTGTGCTTGGAGCACCAGATGGCCAGTGCCCCAGGCTGTTGATTTCCCATTTCCCCCTTATCCTCCTTCCTACCTTCTCACCTTTATCTAGGCAGTTCTCCCTACCAGGTGCCTTCCTTCCTGCCTATCTGAAATCTTGATATATATTAAGGCTCAATTCAGTCCTCATCTCTGTGAAGCCTTCCTTCGCCCCACTTATCTTTTCCTTCTCTGAACCTAAATATCTATTTTAATTTTTTTCATACTCTATTATTGTTTTATTTTTTGAACACAAACCATAGTAAGGCGAACAGTCAATTGAACCTGACCCAGAATGGACACAGATGATAGAGTTAGAAGGACATTAAAAGTTATTAAACTGTATTCCATAAGTTCAAAATTTAAGTAGACACATGGAAGATATAAAAAGACCCAAAGTGAACTTCTTGACAATATCTAAAATGACAAATACACTGGATGGGAATAACAGTAGATTAGATATTGCAAAAGCAATGATTAGTGAACTTAATGGCATAGCAATAGAAACTACCCAAAATGAAACACAGAGAGAAAAAAGAATTTTAAAAAAGTGAAAATGGCATTAGTGAGCTATGGAATAATTTTAATTGGCCAAACATACAGGTAATTGGAGAACTTGAAAACAAGGAGGAGCTGGGGACAGAAAATATATGAAGAAATAATGGCTAACAAATGTCCCAACTGTAAACCTACACATCTGTGATGGTTTATTTGTGTCAACGTGGCTAGGCTATGGTGCCCAGGTGTTTGGTCAAACATCAGTTTAGATGTTGCTGTGAAGGTATTTTTTAGATACAATAACGTTTAAATCAGCAGACTTTGAGGAAAGCAGATTACCTTCTATACTCTAGGTGGGCCTCATCCAGTCAGTCAAAGGCCTTAAGAGAAGGAATTCTGCCAAGACTACCTCTGGGCTCAAGACTGCAACATCAACTCTTGCTGAGATTTCCAGCTTGCCAACCTGCCCTACAGATTTCAGACTTGACAGCCCCTACAACCACATAAGCCAGTTCCTTAAAATAAATCCCTATCTATCTATCTATCTACACACACATCCTGTTGGTTCTGTTTCTCTGGAGAACCCTCACTAATACAAAATCCAAGCTCAAGGAACTCCAAGTGCAAGTACATCAAAATCAAACTGCTTAAAAGCAATGACAGAAAATCTTAAAAGCAGTCAGAAAAAAGATGTTATGTACTGAGGAAGAAGACAAGGATACAATGCAACATGTTATGTACATAGGAACAAAGATAAGGATACAATGCAAACAAGAAGACAATGGCGGGGCCTGCTTGATGGCATAGTGGTTAAGTTCATGTGCTCTGCTTCGGTGACCTGGAGGTTTGTGGGTTCGGATCCCAGGCGTGGACCTTCACACCGCTCATCAAGCCATGCTGTGGTGGTGTCCCACATATAAAATGGAAGAAGACTGGCACAGGGGCCGGCGCAGTGGCGTAACGGTTAAGTGCGTGCGCTCTGCTTTGGCGGCCCAGGGTTCACGGGTTCTGGTCCCAGGCGTGCACTGATGCACCACTTGTCAAGCTGTGGTGAGGCAGCGTCCCACATACAGCAACTAGAAGGATGTGCAGCTATGATGTGCAACTATCTACTGGGGCTTTGGGGAGAAAAAGAGAAAAAAAGGAGGAGGATTGGCATTGGATGTTAGCTCAGGGCTACTCTTCCTCACAAAAAAAAAAAAAAAACGGGCACAGATTTTACCCCGGGGAAAATTTTCCCCCCCAAAAAAAAAAAAAAAAAAAAAAAAAAAAGCCAATGGAGCAACATCTCTAAAGTATTCCAGCAAAACTACAGCTAGTAAAGTATATCCAGCAAAAACATCTTTCAAATTGAAGGTGAAATTAAAGTATTTTCAGACATAAGAAGCCGAAAGAATTAATCACACACACACACAAAAATCACCAACAGACCCATAGTAAAAGAAATGTTAAAGCAAGATTTTTGGGCAGAGGAAAGTGATACCAGATGAGAATCTGAATCTACACAAAGGAATGAAGAGCACTGGAAATGTAACTACATGGGTAAGTATAAAACATTTTTTCTAATTGTCTGTTTAAACAAAAATAATAATGTATTGTGGGTTTTATAACATATAAAAATAAAATACAATAATAAAGACTGTGGGGTGAGAAATATAAGATTGTTATACCATAATAAGTGAAGTGATATAATATCAATTGAATGTAGACTTTGATAAGTTAAAGATGTATACTATAAATCCTAAAGCAACCACAAAAATAACAAAACAAAGTCATCGCTAGTAAGCCAACAAAGACGATAAGACGGAATCAGAAAAAGATACCCAGGGCCGGCCCTGTGGCTTGGTGGTTAAGCGCGCGCTGCGATGCTGGTGGCCCGGGTTCGGAGCCCGGGTGTGCATCGAGGCACCGCTTCTCCGTTCATCCTGAGGCCGAGTCCCACATACAGCAACTAGAAGGATGTGCAGCTATGACATACAACTATCCACTGGGGCTTTGGGGGGAAAAAATAAAATAAATAAAATCTTTAAGAAAAAGATACTCAATTTTTTTTTTTTAAAGGTAGAAGAAGAGGACAAAAGGAACAAAGAATAGATGAGACAAATAGAAAACATGTATCAAGGGGCCAGCCCTGGTGGCCTAGTGGTTAAAGTTCAGTGTACTCCACTTCAGAGGCCCGGGTTTGGTTCCCGGGCGTGGACCTACTCCGCTCTGTTAGCAGCCACACTGTGCTGGCAGCCCACATACTGAAAAATAGAGTAAGACTGGCACAGATGTTAGCTCAGGGTGAATCTTTCTCAGCAAAAAAAAAAAAAGGACAAAAAGAAAAGAAAACATATATCAAGATAAGACTCGGGGCCGGCCCGGTGGTGCAAGCAGTTAAGTGTGCGCGCTCCGCTGCTGCGGCCTGGAGTTCGCCAGGTCGGATCCCGGCTGCGCACTGATGCACTGCTTGGCAAGCCATGCTGTGGCGGTGTCCCATATAAACTGGAGGACGATGGGCACAGATGTTAGCCCAGGGCCAGTCTTCCTCAGCATAAAAAAAAAGAGGAGGATTGGCAGATGTTAGCACAGGGCTGATCTCCTCACAAAAAATAAAAAAAAAAAAATTAAAAAAAATATAAAATAATAAGACTCAAACCTAAGCACATTAATCATATAAAAATAGGGGCCAGCCCAGGGGCGTAGTGGTTAAGTTTGCACACTCCACTTTGTCAGCCTGGGGTTCACAGGTTTGGATCCCTGATGTGGACCTACACATCACTTATCAAGCCGAAGGCCAAACACTTATTGGCCCAGGGCCAATCTTCCTCACAGACATATAAACAAACAAACAAAGATCTAAACACTCCAATTAAGAGGAAGAGATTGTCAAATAAATTTTAAAAAGCATGGGCCGGCCTGGTGGCATAGCAGTTAAGTTTGTACATTCTACTTGGGCAGCCTGGGGTTCGCCAGTTCGGATCCTGGGTGCAGACCTACTCACCACTCATCAAGCCATGCTGAGGCAGCATCCCACACAGAAGAAACTAGAAGCACCTACAACTAGGATATACAACTATGAACTGGGGCTTTGGGGAGAAAAACAAAAAAGAGGAAGATTGGCAACAGATGGTAGCTCAGAGCCCATCTTCTTTCTCTTCTTCAAAAAAGCAAAACCCAACCATACACTACCTACAAGAAGTGCACTTTTATTTTTTTTTTTTACTGAGGAAGATCAGCCCTGAGCTAACATCCATGCCAATCCTCCTCTTTTTCTGCTAAGGAAGACTGGCCCTGGGCTAACATCTGTGCCCATCTTCCTCCACTTTATAATTTTATTTATTTATTTATTTTTCCCCCCAAAGCCCCAGTAGATAGTTGTCATAGCTGCACATCCTTCTAGTTGCTGTATGTGGGACGCGGCCTCAGCATGGCCAGAGAAGCGGTGCGTCGGTGTGTGCCTGGGATCCGAACCCGGGCTGCCAGCATCGGAGTGCGAGCACTTAACCACTAAGCCACGGGGCCGGCCCCTTCCTCCACTTTATATGGGACGCTGCCACAGCATGGCCTGACAAGCAGTGCATCAGTGTGCACCTGGGATCTGAACCTGGGCCGCCAGCAGCGGAGCGCGCGCACTTAACCACTACACCATGGGGCCAGCCCCAAGAAGTGCACTTTAAATATAAATACACAAATGAACAGATAGAAAAAGACATACTGTGGACAATAGTAAAAGAAAGCTGGAGCAGCTATATTAATAGCAGACAAAGTAGCTTTCAGAGCAAAGAATATTACTGAGATGAAGGTAATTTCATAATGATAAAGGAGTCGATCAAAATGCACAATCCTAAACATATATGCAACTAATAACAGAGCTTCAAAATATGTGAAGCAAAAACTGATAGAACTTCTAGAAAAAACAGACAAATCCACAACTATAGCTGGAGATTTCAATACCCTACTCTCAATAATTGATAGAACATGGCAGAAAACCAGCAAGGATATAGTAAACTTGAACAACACTTTCAATCAATTTGAACTAACTGACATTTATAGAACATTTTACCTTGCGTCACACTCCACCTTGCTTTCTTCCAATAATATTAAAACACACATTCTTTTCAAGTGCACATGAAACATTTACCAAAATAGACCATATTCTGGGTCATAGAACAAATCTCAGGAAATTTAAAAGAATTCAAGTCATATGAAGTATATTCTTTGACCACAATGGAATTAAAGTAGAAACCAATGACAGAAAGACCTTTGGAAAACTCCCAAATATTTAAAAACAAACACACTTCTTAAGTAGTCCATAGGTCAAATGTGAAATCAAAAAGGAATTTGAAGAATTTGGAAGTATTTTGAACTGAATTAAAATGAAAACACAACATACGAGAGTTTGTGGGATATTGTTAAAGCAGTATTTGGAGGAAACTTATAGCACTAAATGCCTATATTAGGGGAAAAAAAGTCTCAAATCAATGACCTCAGCTTCTACTTTAGGAAACTAGGAAAAGAAGAGCAAACTAAACTTAAAGTAAAACAGAATAAAATAATAAAGATCAAAGCAGAAATCAAGGTAATAGAACACAGGAAAATAAAGTCGTCAACCCGTGTTTGCAATGTGCCAGGCACAGTACTAGGCACTGAGCTTACATATATGGTCCTACTCCTTGAGGATTGCCCAACTAGTAGGTTAGATGAATATCAACTGAAAAATAATCACATCAGAATGCTAATTATCATGATGGAATGCTCAAGGTGCTGGCTCTGCCTGGGAGAGAAGCCATTCTGGATGCTTAGGGGATGAGGAAGTGAGGACAGAGGTTAAGAGTTCAGGGTCTAGAGACACAGACCTTTAATTCCCACTCTGACCTTGGGCAAATAATCTAACCTTGATTGTCTTCTTTTTCTATAACATGGATTTAATACAAGTCCCTGCACTGCATAGGGCTATTGTAAGGATTAAAGAGTGCCTAGCACATGGCAAATCCTCACCAAATGTCAGGTACTAGCATGAAGATGTGGGTTCCATCCATCTGAGGCAAAGACACACACAAAGACAGAAATGGGTGAAAGAGGGTGGCACAGCCAGGGAAGGGCTCTTGCTCCCTAGGAAACTGTACTTCTCTCTACTTTGGTATTTTCCAGAGTCAAGTAAAGCTAGGCACATAGTAGGTTTATAATTCATTACAACTGAAACTGAGTTTTTATGCTGTAGTGGTTATTCCATTAGCGTAATACAAGAGTTCTGTGGTTTAAACTAATACTTAATATTTTTTCAGGTGTGATATGTGAGTACAGGTTCTGTAGTCAATTGCCTTGCTCAGATGCATGCTCTGCCCCTTACTGGCTGTGTAATTTGGGCAAGTTCCTCAAATCCTCCAACTTCAATTTCCTCATCTGCAAAATGGGCACAAAGAGTACCTACTTGACAGAGGTGCAAGGAATATTAGATGAAATAATGTACATAAAATCTTACCACATGGCCTTGTGCAAAGCTAATAGTGTTATCACATAGTCTTGGAGTTATGTTCAAATACCAGTTCTGTTACTTACTAGTTAGGTGATCTTGGGCAAGTTACTAATCCCTGAATCTTTCCTTTTTTCTCTCCTGGAAAGGTAGGGTGGCTTTCAATGAGATAAGCTTGGTTTAGTAGTGGATAAATGGTGGTAGACTTTACTCATTTAATAATATTGGATACTATATCCCTAGTTGTTTGCTTGAGAAGTCAAAGAATTATATTTAACAAGCTCATTGTACTCATTAAGAGACTGTAAGCAGCTTTTTACAATATCTCATTTAATTCGTACTAGAACCCCAAGAGCTAAGTACTTTTATCATCCCCATTCTATGGATGAGGAAACTGAGGCATCGAGGTTAAGAGGCTTGCCAAAGGTCACACGGACAGCAAGTGGTTGTATCAGAATTCAAACCTACGCAGTCTGACTCCAAGTTTGGCAACAAATGATAGGATTGTTGATATGCAGAAAAAGGACAGAACAGTCTGGAGAAAGTCTACAGGCAGGTAAATTGCAAGCTGAAGTTTAGCAGAAAACAATGGGACCTAGAACACCTGCTGATAGCTGTTTCAGCTACAGTTGGACACTGGGAGAGAGAAATGCATTGATTCCCTGCCCAGCATGTTCTCTACCCTGATCATTTGTATAAAAAAACCCTACAAAGTCTCTGGTTGCTAAGGAAAAAACTAAGCACTATTCAGACAGTTGACTGAGCACCCTCTCCAAAGAGAGTATGTGGTGATACCAAGATGAGAGCCGGACAGAGCTGGTCCTGGGGATACAAAGATAAACAGGATCCTGCCTTGCATCTGGCTCCCTGCCAGCAAGTCAGCAGGGGTTTAATGCATTTGTGCAGAGGCTCTACTTCCTAATTATGGATTTGGGCAATTATTTAGCCTTTCTGTTTCTGGGTTTTCCCATCTGAAATGTATTAGATTAATACCCACCCTAGTTTTAAAGTACATACACAAAACGCTTAGAACAGATAATCATTACAAGTGCTACTTGTTCAGGCAGATGACCTTAGATGTCTCTGTACTCCTGTTTAAGAATCCAACAAGCTCTTCCAGGTTCTTCTCCATAACCAAGTGCTGAATATTCACTAGCTCCCATTCTCACACCTGTCCTCTTGCCCTCAACAGTTAAAAGACTGTCCACTTGGACACTCCACGTGAGTTTGGGCCAAAATCCACCCAACCCCCAAAATACCCACTTCCCTTAAACCCGACCCTACCGGCTTCAGGGCAGGTCCACCTCCCCCTCTTGTTAGGTTCACTCACAGCCTGACTCAGGATCTAGACTCTACCTTTTAGGGGGTTCCCCGCTTGTCTCCATCCTTTGGGGCCTTGATTTCCCTCTAATGCTGGCAGCTTGTACATGGGTTTGGCAAGGGTTCCATTGTGACTCATATCTCAGGCAGGCTGACAAATTTTCAGGCTCAAGTGTACCACTTACAGATAGTAGAGGCTTAAACAGCATTAACAGCTGTGATTTTAACATTTGTACCAATCTTGTAGTTGCTAATGTCATTCTGCCTGTACTACATAGTGGGTAAATTTAAGACCAACACTAGTCTAATTAGGAACCCAGATCTATCATTCAACACCTGTGTCTAGTGGCCCAAGGTATAATCTGAGACCACACCTACATCCATTAGGAGAAAAATGCCTTAAGCGTTCCCCACCTTTGAATTTAACCAGCTGTTGACTATAATGAAAATGAGATTTACCCAGGGAGCCATATTACCTGGGCCCTAAGTAACAATGCGTTGGGAACCAAGATGCATTTTCCAACAGTAAACAAGTACCATTAAGTTAAACACAAGAGAGCGAGAGGATACACAAGACAGACAAGAGCTCAGGGCCTTTAGTTAAGAGCCAATCAGACATTAACTTTTCAGTAGCTTTTCCATCCACAGAATGCTCTTTGGCTGACAGCCATCACACTTCCACATAAAAAAGGAACACACAAATATGCATAATCATCTTTATTATAATTCATAAATACATTAGAAACTGACATGGATTTCTTAAATAATAAAAGACATCTTTCCCATGGGCTTCTGCTTTCTGTTCAGTTATATAGTTATAAAATCCACTTTTCTTGAGAAAGGTAAAAAAGGTCAAGTAATATCTTTATCATTACAAGATTTCAACTCAGGCACTCTGAATGGGTCTTAGGGTCTCCTAGGTCAAAAGACCACAGTCTTAACAGACCTGCCCATACTCAGTGTCTTCTCTAAGTCCTTATAAATTCCAATGGGAACCTGGCCAATGGAACATACTAGTACTCTACCAGTTCTTAAGGTTTGGTTCTGGGGCTACACATTAGAATTTGCCTTTTTAACCTCCTCTTCTCCTCTGATTTACTCTAAAGGGGCAGTTTTTAAAGGAGCCAAACGCTCCCAAACTTAAAAGATTTTCATATTGTCCATGCTTGTCTTCCAAAAATAGTATATTAATCACTTTACCAACTCTCTCTGCCAAATAAAGGATCTAAAAGCATTAAGCATCAACTGCCAAAAAGTTTGACGAGGTTCTTCTCTCCTGAATGAAAATGAAAAAGAAAAAGGGGATTAGACTCATATTTACCATTTTACTTAAAATCTAAACTTTAATATACTAGATGTTTCCTGCATGGTTTGTCTCCTCAGTCATTGTCCGTAGGACTCTGAGAAGCTGTAGGAATATGCAGGCGCAGACTCAAGGCCCGGCTTCATCTCCAACGTTGTGGAAAAGGACTGTACATCATGGGGCAGCGCCCTATGCTCCCCTACGCCACCTGGACAGAGCCCGGGGAGAGTGACCTCCCGGGGTATCCACGTTGGAATGCCTCTGATTAAACAGCATTATAACCCTCAAAACATTTAAGAGATTTCATTTCTCCTCATCCCATACTATACATGTAGATTTGAGGAAAGCCTGTTAAAAGTCCAAACCAGTCACTGCTATTAACTATTTCATGGTTTACCTACTGCATCCCTGTTATTCATTGTTGTAGGAGTATGCATACACATATGCACAGCTTCATCTCCAATATGGTGAAAAGAATTGTACACGATGCCGAACCCTTACCTCCCTTACACAGATTGAGGTATACACAGCGTATGGCTTTTGTGCAAGCTTTGCTAACTGACTTTGGTTATGTCACCCAAACTATCACAATTTTTTCATTTGCAAAATAGAAACCTCTATCACACGAGAATTAGAGATAAATACCTTAGCAGTTTTACTGAACTGAATAAAAAGCCATCTTCCAAGAACACTGAGTATACATCTAAGAAACTGTCAATATGCCCACAAAATTTTAGCAAAGTTTCTATCTGGATGTATTAAACAGCAGCATCTTCATGAAAGGCAACGGAGCTCAGAGTGATTAAATGTTTTATGCAAAATATTGACAGGCAAACACTGATAAGCCAAAAGCAATTTATAGATTTACTTACCCCAAATCAAGTTATTTGGAATCTCCAGCACACACTGCAAAACAAGGTAGGTAAGAGCTTAATCCAGTAGTACCATAACACTGATCAAAGCAAATTTTTTTTCACTCCGGATCTACCTAGATCCAGATACGGTGCTCTAGAGATCTGTTTCCTGCATGGTTTATCTCCTCAGTCATTGTCCACAGGACTCTGAGAAGCTGTAGGAATATGCAGGCGCAGACTCAAGGCCCGGCTTCATCTCCAACGTTGTGGAAAAGGACTGTACATCATGGGGCAGAGCCCTATGCTCCCCTACGCCACCAGGACAGAGCCCGGGGAGAGTGACCTCCCGGGATATCCACGTTGGTTACTGTAGTATTTAGCTTAGACTATTGTGCTAAATTAATTTCACCCAGCTGATAGCGACTTCCCAGAGATACCCATGTCGGGACGGATCCCAAACTCCCAAAGTGTCAACGAAACTCGAGTTCAAGACCGATCAGCAGTCACGTACCAGTAATCTGAACTAACTTTCAGTCAGGTACCCCAGACATATCTAGAAACCCCAACAAGCGATTAGCACGCTGCCAAAAAAAACAGTAAATGCAGAGCCGTTGAGACACCAATTAAAGCTCATGTATCTTTCAACTGATCATCTGGAGTCGAGAAACTGCCCAAATCATAAACCAAGTGACAGCAGAATCAAGAGCCATCCATCTCGAAATCAGAACTCTGAAACTCGCATGGGCGTCAAGAATATCTCCTGCGTGCACCTCCACTGAGGAGACCAACGCGCCTCCTGCGAGGCAGGATAATAAACGGCGTTAACAGGCAACAGTGAGAAGGGGGCTGCGCATTTCGCTGTCGGCACGCTGGATGGCAGTCCTGCAGGCCTGGGAGTTCCCGCGCTAGCGCCCGTCGGTCACGGCCCAGACCCGCGGCTCGCTCGGCCTCGGCCGCCCACATCAGGCCCAGCTCCACTGCAGAGAGAGTTAGTTAGCCTGCTAACTAACTAATTCGCCGCTGAAGCGAATCCCTCTACGTAGTACAAAGGCTGGCTAGCTGGCCCGGGGTAGTGGGTCTAGAGCTGACGAACCAGGGGGGTACAAACACTCACCAAGACCACCACAGCATAGCGACAGTCCTCTCCGAAAAGACTTGGTTGTGCCAAGACATCTCTATTTATACCTTCTGAAACGCGCGGAAGTCAAGGAATGACTATTGCGCCTGCGCCGCGCCATGCGCAGTTAGGGAATCAGAAATACGCTAAGGGTGCTGGGAATCTACTTCAGGTTAAGCCCCACCCCTACCTGGCTCAGAGGTCTCTCGCGACACTAGAGTATTCGGGTGGACCTTGCTGGGGAATGTAAATTACAGAAACTGAGTTTTGTTAAGAAGGTGGGCGGGTGTGGCTGGGCGGCGCCAGCGGTAAAGTGGTGCGTTCTGCTGCCTGCCCGGAGTTGGCTGGTTGGGATCTGTGGGAGCGTCCCATGTAAAGTGGAGGAAGATGGGCACGGATGTTAGCCCAGGGCCAGTCTTCCTCAGCAAAAAAAGAGGAGGATTGGTGGATGTTAGCACAGGGCTGATCTCCTCACAAAAAATAAAAAAAAAAAAGGGCCAGCCCCGTGGCTTAGCGGTTAAGTGTGTGGGGCCCGTTGGGATACCGGCGCACACGGATGCACCGCTTCTCTGGCCATGCTGGGGCAGCGTCCCACATACAGCAACTAGAAGGATGTGCAGCTGTGACATACGACTATCTACTGGGGCTTTGGGGGGAAAAAGGAGGAGGAAAAAGGAGGAGGATTGGCAATGGATGTTAGCTCAGAGCTGGTCTTCCCCAGCAAAAAGAGAAGGATTAGCATGGATGTTAGCTCAGGGCTGATCTTCCTCACAAAAAAAAAAAAAAAAAAGAAGGTGGGCAGATGGGCACCTACCAGATAGCAAATTTACTTCTCTACAATCAGTTCGCCCAATCTGGAGGATATGGGGTTACATAAACTTGCCAAAAAAACCCTGGAGTAATACGTATGCAGGATAGAAAAAGGCATCTAGAGAAATTCATGGTCTCAAAAGGGATTGAATCTACCTTGTCACATGTGAAATAAACGTGATAAATGCCTAAGTAGGGCCGGCTCCGTGGCTTAGCGGTTAAGTGCGCGCGCTCTGATGCTGGCGGCCCGGGTTCGGATCCCGGGCACGCCCCAAGGCACCACTTCTCCGTCCAACGCGAGGCCGAGTCCCACATACAGCAACTAGAATGATGTGAACCTATGACATACAACTGTCTACTGGGGCTTTGGGGGGAAAAAAATGAATAAATAAAATCTTTAAAAAAAAAAAAATGCCTAAGTAAATAAGAGAAGTGCTTCTACACGAATTGGCTAAAATTAAAAACGTCCTATGCACAACAATGTGAATCTACTTAAGACTACTGAACTGTACATGTTAAAATGGTGAACTTTATGTTAAGTATATTTTAACACACACCTAATATAAAGCAGTGAGCAAGTAAAGAATCCTGAATCTACATATTACATGTGAAATGTTGCAAATGTGATAGAATTTCAAATATGATGTTAAGCGAACAAATGTTAAATTGACATACAGCCATCACAGCTGGGCTATAATGAATAGAAACATTTATGGTGTTCTTCCTATAAGATTTTGTGCTGGGTGCTTTACATAAAATTACTTACTATCACGGCAATCCTAAGACATTGGAATTATTATCCAGATTTCAAGATGTGAAACAGGCCCAGAGCAGTGGTTCTCAAAGTGTAGTTAGCAGATCCTGGGGTCCCTGAGACTCCTTTGGGGGTCCATGAGGTGAGAACTATTTAATAATAATATGTATTAGACTTAGACTTTCTTTGCCTTTTTCACTGTGTTGACTCTGCAATGAT